CTACGAGAGTTCCTGATCCTGGTTCGACGACTGGAAGAGATGCCGCTCTATCTAAACATAAGGGGGCACACCAATTGCCGAGACGATCGGGCAGAATCATTCGTCCTCTGAGAAGATTGAATTTGTGAAGATTCAAATATGTAATTGCATACTTTTAAGGGAGGAAGAGCTGTCATACCTTGGTTAAATAACTTTGATATATTTCCTTATTGTTACCTGTAGTTAAATTACTTTGCTTTTGCTTACGGCAGCTGCCAACACTTCCCCCGAGCAGAGAAAAAAGAAAAGTTTGTTCATTTAAAAGTTGTTATTAAATAAATACGTAATTCGAACACGGCATAGTTCTTGTCCGGTTTTAATTAGTGAAATCCTCCTGAAAAACATTTTCTTGGCCACCGTTACAACACATAATTATTACTTTTACACATTCTCTCCATTCATCCAGGATCGTAGAACATCTATGTCCTTCTCCAACGTTCAGAAATGACCTTGAACCTTTCCTATGAGTTTCGAAACAATGATCCCAAAGCTTCCAGTATGTTCATAAGCCAAACCCAAGTTCTAAAAAGTATGCTGAGCTGAGTAGTGATAAGCGTGATTACCTCTCACCCCAGCATGCCTAGGTTCAATCCCAGTCGGCGCCGCTGGGATGTTCTGAGGTATAACATCTCTGATCACGCCGTTGGTCCCCGGTTCATGAGTTGATGGGTCGATTGATAGGGTCCAGGTGTGGGAGCTGCCTCCCTGGCGTCGGTAGCATTGGTACTCAGCACGGAAAACAAATCAAGGAAAATAAAATACCTGAGCTATAATTAAATTCCCTAAATTTCTAAAAATTTGGAAGAATTTCTTAAAAGGTCCTTGAGCTTAAACAATAATATCTACACTATGAGGTTTTGCGATGTTCCTTGGAGTGCTACGTATGTAATTCTCATGTCAAAGTTATTTGAATTCCTATTAATTTCACCTCGTCTGTAAAGCTCTCTGGACTTTTAACAGTTTCGTTGAAGTAATGAAATTTGGTTGTTAGCGGAATGCTTAAATAAAACAGCAAAAAAGGGTTATCTTCCATTTAATTCCACTTAAATAATTTTGGTATCCATGACAGATACGTATTTCGACTACAATGTGCAGTATTCATCAGTGTCATTCCCACTAAAGACTTAACAAAAACCTAAGCCCCTTAAGTACTCATCCCCTAGGTAAAAATGTCAAGATCACAGTTTCGTTGATTTTCTGCAAAATTTTTTGAAGTTCTTCAAACTTTCCCAAATTTTCACCAAATTTCCTGATCTATTTCAAGTTCATTAAACTGAATAATTAATGAAGTTTTGCAGATTAAACAAAATTTCCTTAACTACAATTAGGTTCCCCAAACTTTTAAAAACATTCAAATTCATAGACTTTAAAGGCCTTCAAGAAGCATCGAAGAGAATAAATTCAGAGAAAATTGAAGGAATTGAGGGAAAAGCTTATAAATCTGGGAAGCTCATAAAAGTTTGGGCAACTTCTTTTAATTTGAGAGATTTTTTTTATTTTTATTAAATTTCAAAAACGTTAATTTAGCTTCAATCTTCTGAACAGTTTAATGGACTTAAAATAAAGACTATACTCGAAAAAAGTGAGACACATTGATTAGTTTGTAACTTTTTAGCGTGTGGGTAAAAATCGATGAAATTTTGACTGAAACTAGCTTAGAGTGTAATGTTTACGCTGGCCGAATTTCATCGCAATCTGTCAAGTGGTTATCGAGATGGCACCGGAGCAAGAGCAGATCCGCCAAAAAATCTTGTGCTCCGCAAGCTTGCAAATGCTCATTACAACTAAAATGCTATTTTTCGGATTTATGATGCTATGAGATATTTTAATGATAATTCTTATTTACAAGATAAAAGAAAAGAAACTAAAGTGTGTGTATGATTCAAAAACTAGCATTTTAGCTGTAATGAGCAATTGCAAGCCTGGTGCTCCGTCGTGGAAAATCCGACTGCGTCCGACAGATGGATCGGGAAACACCTGGGAATCCGACGATTTCCCCGGTGGTGAAGTCATTCTAGGAGACCCAGACGACCCAGCGCCAGAAAACTGAAGACAGCTGACCCGGTGAAGGTGTTGAGTCTGTTTAAGCGTCGGCCTAATCTTTTGATCCGTGATGCGGTGAAGTAGGCGGATGTTTCCATTTGGTTTGTCCAGAAAACGAGGAAACGTGCCGGCATCCACGTATACAGGGTCCGGAAGGCACCGAACCGGACAAACAAAACACGGTGGCCACAACTCGCACCAGAAAGCTATATCGGGAGTAGCTGATGAAACGGAGGTGCGCCGTGATGGACGACGAGACGCAGAGCAGTTGCCGGAGCAGGAGTTTTACGTTGCCACATAACGGTTGGCCGTTCCTGAGGAGTTAAGTAAAAAGAAGGTGGACAAATTCACTAAAAGTTTGGTTTGGCAGGCCACCTGTGGGTGCGGCAAGATGAGCCAGCCGTACATCACAACGGGTACCATCAACGGGAAAATCTATCGGGACGAGTGCTTCCAGAAGCGCCTTCTACACTTTCTGCGGTCTCAAGGAGGCGAGACGCTGTTTTGGCCGGATTTGACTTCATGCCACTGTTAGACTGATGCCTCTGTACCAAAGACGTCAACTTACGGAACTCGCCCGATTGAGAAGTTTTGGGCCCTCATGAAGGGCACACTTCGTAAAACACCTACGGTGTTGGAGACCGAGCAGCCTTTGAAAAAAAAAAACAGTTGGTAAAAGTATCAAAAGAAGTTGGCCCCACCATTGCCGAAAACCTTATGAGCTACAGAAACTTTCTTCATATGAACCATAGACAAATAGTCGTCGGTGAAATCACAATATAGATCCTTCAATGTGCTATTCGACGTGAACCGACGCTTAAGCCCATAGAAACGTTTTAGAGCGCTGGTTCTTGAATCTCCAAGCTGCTGAATCACAGCTTCCTTTTTTGGGAGGGTAACTACAAATCTACCATCCTGATCCCGTGTGGAAGTTTGCTCGAAGATTTCTTCGCACATAGATTCCTCTACAGATAGCGTGTTTCTGTTGTTGCAGTTCCCAAAATTTGGTCTTTGTTCCTGAATATCGAGTCCACAGTCCACGATGATATTGAAGAACTTCTGCAGCAGCATCTAGATTCCGTTACAACCGTACTTTTGGACCGATTCTTCAATCGCAAAGTATTGGTTAGCATCTCCACCATCATGTGTCTGGTGCAGAATTTCTCATAAAGATGACTCATCAGAAGTGCTACGAAGAGTTCTAGCCAGTTCTTGATTGAGTCTTCTTTTTCGCTTTCTATAGTTTTCGAGTGATACAACTTTCGACTTGGCAGTAATCAGTCAAACAGTAATCGATCCGTCAGTGGCAACGCAGCGGAAAAACAAGCATGCTCCATCGGCTACTTGCGAGGCATCGCAGAAACCATGTACTTCTAAAGTGGCTAGGTCTTGAGTGAAGGAAACCCATCGAGGTACAGTGAGTGTTCTGGCAACACGGACCGTTCCACCTCGCGATCGGCCGATGAGGCGAGAAGAGGTTTGGCTGATGAGGTGTGACAAGGTGACAGGTTAAGTATAGAAGTGACGGGTTTGAGAAAGAGAGAAAAGATAGTTGGAAGTTGATCTGACAGAAGTTGTGCAAAGGAAAAGTAACCAAATTAAAAAAGGCTGAAGTTTAGTTTTTTTGTCGATTGAGATTGAGAGTGTGTTTTGTTGGAAAAAGGTGAAATTTCGGTACGTTTTTTTTAAAGTTAAAATAATTAAACGACCGCAGTTTAATACACCAGGTTAGTTCAACATACAAAGATTGAAACATGTTAAGAACGAAATAAATAAATTACAGTTTTTTACGACACAAAGAGGAGGTTAGTTGATGATAGACGGATCGACAAGACAGATTGGTAGATAGGTAAATCATGCAGAAAACGTTGAAAATAAATAAAATTAATGCGCTTAATTGTGTCAGGCATAGTATTGGAAGCAAAATTGGAAAGACATGGAAAGTTTAGAGGAGGAAAACAAACTAAAATTGTGAGTAATACTAACACTAAAATTCATGAAAACACTGTACTAATTTCAATTACTTTCTCATAAAAATTGCAGTTTGATTTACCTGCAAGAGAAGGTTGATTCAAGAACGGTTTCTTTTATTCGATCCGAACAGTGAGTGTTCCCAAAGCCATAAGATTACGATGATATTCCAACCAGAAACTCTGCAGATGCTCAGGTAACAAGTCGTCCCAGTCACATTTTTCCTTCGATGGCCTTTGTAGGAATATTTTAGCTTGGACCACTGTAGGACCAATCAAACCGAGGGGAAAATCTGCGTTCTTCCGATTAAGGACAACGCACCCTCTATCGAAAAGAATTAGTTTTCATCGCTGGTGCTTCGGCACCGCGGAGGCCTTCACTACGGAGGCCTTCGCTTCCCAGTTAAGTAGTTTTATAATAATTTATTGCAAAACAATTAGTGTCCCATTATTTTTCCTTTAAGCACTTAAAAGTGCTTCCGCAAATTCAGATCGTAACCAAAATCGTTAAAATTTAGCACACTTATTGAATTGGGGACCCCTTTACCAATAAAAAAAACCCAGTTGGGAGCAGGGGTTTGTGATCATCCACCATACAAATAAATTAAAAAACTCTGTTCAGCATGACATATGTAGTAAAACACAACCACTTTGGGTGGCGCTCGTTCAACTTCATACTATGTGTAACTATAAATTTCAAACGTCACTCCACCCAACCGTTGCCATGGGAATGTTCTATGGCAGTTACATTATAAATTCTAAATGATCCACGGCACACCGAAAACACACTTATCCCTCATTCTGACGAGGCAGCTTTTGTACGCGTTGGCTTCATATACTTATAGGTACATTATGTTTTCCACCTCTAAATCATGTCACTTTCCATAGCTAATTCGTTTTCCATTTTGCTTTATTTCGCCCTTATCAAACCAAATACCAACGAAACAGTTCCGCCGGTTGGTGAACGACCTGTACATCGGTGGCTACACCATCTCGCTCATAACGCTCATCGTATCGCTGTGTGTCTTCTTTAGCTTTAGGTAAGTTTGTGGGTGGAAAAATGTCGTTTTTAAAACTTCAATCTCGTTACGGTGAGTTACATGCTTATTAGACTTGGTATTGATAAAAGGGAAAAAGTTTTTTTATTTTCTGTCTGAGATCATTAGTCGAACAACATTGGCGGAGGTTATTACTTTATTTGATACCTAGAAACCTTTTGAATGGGATGTCGTTTCCAATTATAAATGCGACCGGGATAAATGGGAACGTTGTATTCTTTTTCACCGCCTACCCTTGACTAATGATTACGGTGGATTACAATAATCAGATTAATCCTTTGGTCCGTTTAGCGGCAATCAATAAATTAGCTTCCCACTAAAAACGACCATTTAAACATGAACCCTAAATGTGCTTTTATTACATCACTGCCGACGTTACAACCGCTACGACGCGACGGTTATACCAGGGCGCATTTGCATGGGGAAGGTAAATGGGCCCCCAAAGCGTCGTTCAGGGCAAAACTGTTGCTCATCTTCAGATGCTGGTTTAGAGTACCCCGAAGATTTGGAAAGATCCTGCATTACGCATATAGGGGAAATGCAGGTAATGTCGGCCTAAGTGTCCCTAATTTGGCCCCATACATAAATTCAGCAATCAACTAAATTTTCAATAGCAACCAAAAATATCCATTAGTAACGTCCCAATAACGCGTTCATCTAGATAAAATTGATAAATTGCAGAGTTTTAGCGATGGGCCCAAATTAGGGACATGTAGGCCGACATTACCTACATTTCCCCTATATATATCTGTTGTATACATAAAACCAGGATCAAAGCAGGCGGAGAAGGCGGTCATAAATTTTCAATGCTTGCTTCGATTGCTTCTGCCCGAATATCGCCTGTTGGGGGGTCGAAGTGGTATCTACCTAGTGGCAGTCATGCAGTTACGGCTACAAATCCCAACGGTACCTCCACCAAATTTGCCGAGGTTGAATTTCGAATTACGATGAAAATTTATCGTACCGTTATTGATTTTTATAAAGATGTTTCCACTTCGATGTTTCGATTCACATTCAGAAGATTTGAAAACACGTTATTACCAATATTTGGTGCGCTACTGTGCTCCTTCCTTCGAGAATCGATGTAAACACATATTCTGAATGCTCATGCAAAGCATCCCCACATGGGATACAACATTAACAAACTTTCTCTTTGCAAAAGTTCACTTCCAGTGTGAGCAATGGTTGTGTACAAGATTTCGCATCCCATCAGCAGGTGGTGAACAAAAAAAATCGTCATCTGTCACATATGACGCTTCATTTTGCTCATTTATTACGTCGTTTTTTCTCAGTGGATAGCGACGCAAAACTAACTCAATGAGTGATTTTGAAGTATTCCACTCATAGCATGCTATTTGCCGTTGTCATTTTACGCCATCTGCCACGATCATCAACACTTTGTTCGGATGTGTTGCTAGACAACGAGTTTTTCCCTCCAATCACCCCTTACATGCCATATTGCCATGATAATGGTGCAATGAAATAGAATAACTTTCTGCGGTTCGACTTCTTACACTTTCTTCTGCTTCGTGTATTTCCCACAGGACTCTGAAATGTACTCGCATACGCATCCACATCAACTTGTTCATCTCGTTGGCGCTGAGCTGCTTCTTTTGGATCGTCTGGTACAAGTTCGTCGTCGAAGATCCGGATGTGACCAACAAGAGTGGGGTAAGTGCGACATACAAAATACAAAACATTCCTTGCCACACTGAAAATATGTATTCGTTAATTCTCTTACGCTCGTGTCGTAAAAATGGGTTTCGTAGATAAAACACATTTTTCGTAAATTTTACGAAACATTCATATTGCCTGTCATCTGCAAAAATGTCAATTTTACGCCTTATTCGTATAATACACGAAGTGAATTTCGCACGGACCAGTATACTGCTGTTCTTCTTGTCTTCTAAGGTGCCTGTTCATATTTGTGTTGGTCCTGTTGCTGATGGCGATAATGTGCTGAGTTTTGTGTGTTGAAAAGCTGTTGCTACTGTTATCGTCTCATATTTTTGTTGCTGATGTGAATGCTGATGGCCATGAAGGTGGAATCGCCAAGTTGATGTTGTAGATGGGATACCAATAGCGGATTGACTTTAAGGGAATGGAATGGAGGCTGGTTGCCTCCTCAGTGAATTTATTCTTCAGGATCCGTTGGCATTAGTGTGATTTTTTCCTCATCAATAATGTGGAGGAATAAAATTATTAGTTTAAATCATTCATGCAGTATAAAAATAAAAGTGCGATCATAAGAAATGCCTTCGTACATGCAACGATAACCAAGAAGATAATTTAGTGCCGTTTCAGGGAAAATAATTACATCTTTGTAAGAAAAAGTCTGGAGGTGGTGTTCTCATTGCCATCAATGCAGACTTTACTTCCGAAGAAATACAAACTAGTAAGAACACAAAATTTGAACATGTCTGGGCCAAAGCACTTATTGCTGGTGAAAAACACATTTTTACTGTTGTGTATTTCCCACCTGAACATGCGAACAAACATTTTTTTGAATCATTTTTCCAAATTGTCGAAACTGTCATGTGAAATATGAAACCAGAAATAAAACTGCATATTTATGGCGACTTTGACAGACATTGAAACCGAATTATTTTTACTTCCAATCGTAGGTGAAGTCGAAACATTACAATTTCTTTTTGACAAAATCTCATATTGAGGTCTATATCAACTTAACTACGTGAAAAATCTGCATAATGCATATTTAGACCTTTTATTTACAAACTGTACTGAAGACTTCTATGTGCATGCATCATTATCACCTTTATGAAAAAAATGAAGTGTTTCACTCAGCAATTGAATATTCAATCTTTTTTTTTATATTTTTTTTTATTGGGTATCAAGCTGGAGCTGCGTGACAGCTTAATTTTCAAGACTTGACCCATTTGAATAAATTTTGCTTCTATCTTTGACAATACAGCAGAAGGACTAGCCTATGTTGGCCGCTTGAACACTGGATTCCGTATGTATTGTTTCAAGATAGTTATAGAAAAAATGCTGTGACGTGTGCGCGTAGATACATCCGCGTAGTAAACCGATTGAATAAGTAAATCCGTTTCGAACGAAATATCTAAATTATGTGAGTTACGAAAACCGCGCGAATTCCGAAAGCCGTGCGAGACAACCGAAGTGAGAAAAAAGGCTTATTATCATTTAAAGAGTGCCACCAAAATAAATGTGATAGCCTATGTTGGCAAGTTGATTAATTTTGGTTTCCTCCCTAGATATTCTACTTATTTACTACTGAGCTTTGTATCAAATTAGTTAATTTAAAGAACGTATCAATCATTTCAAGATTTCGCGACCAAACCGAACAAATTCTATAAGCTCAAAAGCGTTTGACAAGTTCTACCGAATTGCGTATCACTTCTGCGTAAGCTCCGTAGACGTAGGCGCGTTGAATCCGACAGTCGGCAAATGTTTAACCTGTACCAACACCGCTTAAGGAACGACCTCGAGTCAGTGAAACCGTTTATAGCTAAACATCTAAATTACGTAAGATACGAAAATCGCGCAAAAAGTGAACGCCACGCGAAACAACCGTAAAGAAAAAAAAACAACTTATTATCACTTAAAGAGTGCCACCAAAATAAATGTGATAGCCTATGTTGGCAAGTTGAATAATTTTGGTTTTCTTCCTAAATATTCTACTTATTTTACTGTTGAGCTTTGTTTCAATTTAGTTATTTTACCACACGTATCAATCATTTCAAGATTTCGCGACCGTACCGAACAAATTCTATACTACAGAAGCTAAAATTAAAAAAAAAAAAATTTGGTGAGCTCTACTGCATTGCGAATCACTTCTGCGTAAGCTCCGTAGACGTAGGCGCGTTGATTCCGACAGCCGCGAAAAGTTAAACATGCATCAATACCACAAAAGGAAAGATCGATTTTACCTAGGGTTTAGTTCATAGATTAACATTGACTGCTGTTACTGTAAAAATGTAAGTACTTGAACACTAAGAAATAAGTTAACTCAAATGCTTTAACCGCATATATAAGAGATTTCGCGTATTGGGAGAATTATATGGTAATCGAGTACAACAAACTCAGGGGAATACAATACCTCCAAAAGTTTAAAAGCTATTAATTGTCACATACCTCTACTTTTACTTATTTCCTAAACTATTCCTCTCCTTGTTAATCTGCTTAATGCTATTGGTCTGCCTGCGTTTTCTTTTTAAAGTTCAAGACTAAATGAGAAGATTTATTCTACAACTTTAAAGGTTAATTGCCTTCCTAAGCGGAACCCCCACATCCTAATTCTTTTGTTAATCTACTTAATGTCATTTGACTTTCTGAAGTTTCTTATTTAAGTTCATTTGATGATTATGATATCTCATTAGTCTAATTTAATAAATTATTAAAAGCTCTAGTTCACCTAATCAATCATGACCCTTGCTTTATTAAGTACCTGCACTTGTGCTTGTAATCTAAAATTAAACGTGTTTCAAGTACTTTTGATTTAAGCCTATACCTATTTATTATATCTTAGTTCGACCCAGGTAACACCTTCATGTGACTAAAATGCTTCATTTTGAAGTTAATTTCCTAGCTGATTTTTAAATTATATAGGGTATATGTTCCAATTACGCTCTCACGTTTCCACTATGTCGCACCACAAAAATACATATGGGTATGTCACAATAGAAGCACACCACAGTGGAAATCCCGAGCCATAGTTCAAACACTTATCACAAATCAAAATGAAGCACATATAAGATTAGTTACAATACCATGTGCAAAAATGATGTTTAACATTGTTTCCTGAGTAATACTTCAATGAAAACAACAATGAAAGCTTGTCACGCAAATAGAAGGAGCACCGTAGGGCACTTTCTGAAATATTTCAATAGTATAATTCCCTTGCAAACCCAAATAAATCTATCTGCGTAAAAATAAATAAAATAAGAGTGATTTGCGGCAAAACCCGCCAGTATCACACCCAACGTCAGTGCCTATACGTAAGCGTACTACGACGCGGCTCTCAATTAAAGGAGTAACAAGTGTGATACTATCACTGCTAGACTAGATTTTTGGTTCTCTCAACCATCATCAGAGAGGGGAAGCTTAGCAATCCCCATTGCCTGCCCATGACACCAATCTATCGCGGCATGAGCCAGCAACGCCGACCATAAACCTACCGTCTCCAACACTCCACTATAAAGCATGAAATTAAGCCCGCCCACCAACAGCAAGGTGCAAAAACTAGCCAAGGAGAGGGAGCAATTGAATATTCAATCTTCATACAAAATACTTCTTCCCCCAACAACTGGGAGTACGAGGAAGTGCCGGAATATCATAAAGCAAATTACGAATAAGCCAAACGTAGACTATGTACAATAAATTGGCAAAATATAGTAAGTATTGAAGGAAATGTCGACACTGAATTTGAAAGATTTCATTCAATTATTCGTAACATAATTTCAGAAACCGTACCAATAAAAAGAAGAAGACGAACACAAAACAACAAACTGCCAGTGTGGTTCAATCCACAACTAAGACATTTGAAGAACAAAAAGCAGAAAGCACACAAATTATACAAAAAGGAATGCACGAGCACAAATTTACAACACTATCATAACATATGCAACCAACTCAATACAGCCATTAACACTGCACATGAATGAAGTAATGAAATTGGGTTGTTAGCGGAATGCTAAATAAAACAGCAAAAAAGGGTTATCTTCCATTTAATTCCACTTAATTAATTTTGGTATCCATGACAGATACGTATTTCGACTACAATGTGCAGTCTTCATCAGTGTCATTCCCACTAAAGAACTTATCAAAATCTAACCCCCTTAAGTACTCATCCCCTAGGTAAAAAAGTCAAGATCATAGGTATAAAAATGAAACTACAATGTGTTGAATCGGAACCTACCTAACTAATAAAAACCAAAGATTTAAGTAAGCTAAAGGAGAAAAATCTATACAACTCTCTAATAAGGAAAATCCCCAAAGGCTTGGTAGCCATCATAATGAAGTAATGAAATTGGGTTGTTAGCGGAATGCTAAATAAAACAGCAAAAAAGGGTTATCTTCCATTTAATTCCACTTAATTAATTTTGGTATCCATGACAGATACGTATTTCGTGAAGAATATAATTGTTAAGTCGAAAATGAAGTCAAATCATATTCTAAGAACTTTTTCAATCATGCAAAAACGAAATTGAAAAGTTATAATTTTCCGTCACGAATGCATTTTGATGGAAATGTAGGTAAAAATCCTTCTGAAATCTGCAATCTCTTTGCAAATTTCTTTCAGGAAGTATACACCAGATTTTCCGAAAAAGACCGCGACCGCGACTTCTTTGCATTCATTCTCGAAGTCTCTAACAACGTATTTTTCAATCATTTATGTCAACATGAAGTCCTCAATGCACTAAAAAATTTAGACGCATCTAAAACACCAGGACCTTATGGAATTGCACCTGTATTGTTGAAGAATCTTTCAGAACAACTCACCTTGGGGCAAGACAGCTTTTGATCATGAGTAACATCGGAGTTAATTTTGAGTAACTCTGAGTAACTCGCGTTGCTCAACATAAAATACACATAGCAACCGATACTGTCATGCAAAGCAAAGCAACAACATTTTATACGATGCGCTTGCAATGTTTTACTGGGAAGATCTTTCAGCAATCAAAGGGCAA